TCATTTAACATGACGTACCTTATTATACGTATCATTTAAGATGACGTACCTTATTATACGTATCATTTAACATGACGTACCTTATCATACGTATCATTTGACATGACGTACCATATTATACGTATCATTTGTCATGACGTACCTTATTATACGTATCATTTAACATGACGTACCTTATTATACGTATCATTTAACATGACGTACCTTATTATACGTATCATTTAACATGACGTACCATATTATACGTATCATTTAACATGACGTACCTTAATATACGTATCATTCAATATGACGTACTTTATTATACGTATCATTCAACATGACATACCTAATTATACGTATCATATAACGTGACGTACCTTATTATACGTATCATTTAACATGACGTACCTTATTATACGTATCATTTAAGATGACGTACCTTATTTTACGTATCATTTAACATGACGTACCTTATAATACGTATCATTTAACATGACGTACCTTATTATACGTATCGTTCAATATGACGTACCTTATTATACGTATCCTCCAGTTCACTGACTTGCGGCCGAAACCCGTTCTCCGCCTTAGCGTCCGACGGCAACACTTTCGCGCCAGGCAGCATTGTGCAATCCAAAAAGAACCCAGCTACAACACAGGAAAGCAACACTCGATGAACACTCCATGCTAGACAAGTGCTAATGTCCTTGGGCATAGGGACCAGGCGAATAATACTGAACACACTCCGTACACACACACAGGGCGATCGGGCTATAGTGGATGGTTGGTGTAGTGTACCAGGAGTATACGTTACCGCGGGTTAATGTGATATATAATTCAGCAGGTGAAGCAGCACGCGTCCACTACCACACCAGCCACTGACAGTGCTTGTGTGCCCAAGTATTGTGGTGCTGATCCATACCTTCACATGTAGGCATAGAACCACGCAGCCTGTATTATTTTGAACTTATAGAAGCATGCATACCACCATATCGCTTGACGTATAAGCTATCCCACCTGTCGAGATCACATAGCTAAACACCCCATGTTTTTATGAGGTGGCATACATCTAAGTGTTGTTGGACTGGCGTATTTGTAAGCAGCCTAACAGTTCTAGAGACGGATAATCATGTTCTTCACATACTTGACAAGCGCGATAGGCTCAAGAACAGCCACATTCTAAATAGGTAGCGGTGAAGAACGCTCATTCTTATCTATGTCATAATAAAAACCTTAGACAACGTCTGACACTGCGCACCTCTGGATGTGTTAGTCAATGTATGTTGTACGCGTGCACGTACATATCCAAACGTATAGAAATCTGTATGACTATATGTCGATGATAGTACGTATGTGGCAGCAAGGATCATATATATATATATGTATATATGTTGACCTCAAAGTGGGAAAGATCGATTCCCCAAGCCTGAGCCTTCAATAGACTTTTATCCGAGTCCAGCCACACGATAATATACCATACTTCATCCTGAAATTATCAGTAGGCAGGTGAGCATACTCACGAGCTGAAATAGGGGTGGTTGTATATCAACATCACCAAGCACACTTACAGTAGACTGGGCTCGGAATGATGACACCCTCGCCTATGTCGCACAGACACCCCGTCAACGCGGACACTGCGTAAGTGGCTCCGGAGCAGAGCAGCACATCGTCTGGGATCGCTGTGTGTTCCCCTGTAAAATGATATACACGCGTGAATATGTTGCTATAATATATATATATATATATATATATATATATATATATATATATATATATATATATATATATATAACGGTAGATATAAATATACATTCCCGTACTGTCTTTCGATATTGAGTTTAACATTGTATGGGAGTGCAATATTCCATCGCGATAGTGCATGAATCAGTTCGAGACCAGCTTCAGGACTTCGGGTTTTGGGTCGTAAAGAGGAATGAACATGTCTCAGATATAAAGTGATTGATACAACGGTTTTCAATGCTATAGGCAAATGACATTGAACACAAACCATAGGCCGGCAGTTAAATCTCAGGGTCGTTGCAAACACATACCCAAGTAACTCCACATACAAACATACGCGTCCTAAATACCATATCAGAACAATCATGACAATAGATCGTGTCCGCCAAATCCAAGTCTGACTACGTAAGCGCATGCTTCATTGACACAGCACGAACAATTGAAAGTATGTGATCTTACGCATAGACCAATACATCACAACAATATATCCGAAACCTCTCGCACATGTATACTCGGATTGAAAGCCGATAATCGTGAGCAAAAAACACTTAGATAAGATGATCATTGTTGCGCGTAAATGCATAGGTTCAACCTGATCGGTCAATCGGACGGTGATACACGCATACACCCGGGACACGGTGCCATAAGTGAATGTATAGTTCTCCACCAAACAATGTATAGCAACTTAGAGACCGCCTGTTGAGTATTGTGAGTGAATTCACTCGTGACACATTCATTACCACTCATATATCTACGTATCTAGCTCTAATACACACATGTGCACCTTATGCATAGAACAACACGTACCTTTGAAAATATACTCCGTCATAACACCAGCAACGGCACTCCTCAGCTCTTCCGTGCCGTGGGGGTCAGACGCATAACCAAAGTGGCGACTCGCCAGTGAGCTTTCCTTTTCCATCGCTTCATTTACCCGAGCGTGGATCTGATTGGCTGATTTTAACTGACACGCAGCCACCGATAGGTTGATGAGCCCATCGGGGTTTGTAAGTGCACTGTACGGATTCCTGTCGGCCTCAAAGGCATCGGCCACATGAATAGGCAGAGCTGTGGCGTGGTGTAGATATAGCAGCATATGAGTAGATGGAAGATTACAAGTATCTCAGCCGTTGTATTAGCAAGGGTAACATTTGCTTGTATACCGTATCCAGAAGCACAGGTGCTCGATAGCTTCTCACTGCATAGTTCGTTAGACATTCCAATGTTATATGTATCATGTTGAAATAGCCGTAAACGTTGGCGTGTGTATAATGGGTGCGGTAAATAAATGCCACTAGGCATCGGCAATAACTGTCAGGGGACTTATACACTAACTCAGAAAGGGAAGAAGAAGAAAACCGCAGCCAACGTTCTAAGCGGCACGCAAAAAAAAATTTAGAAAAAATAGCTGTGTATGTATGTCATAAGCAACTCCGCATATGGTAACGGAGTGATCAAATCTCGTGTTGTATGAACATACTGTATGAAAAAAGGTGTTATATGGACATGATTTATGGAAAAAGGTACAAAGGTTTGGCATGTGAACGAAGCAATAATTGAAGCAACGAAAAGAAAAGAAGAAGAAGAAGAATCTGTACTCGATGACATATTGTTGATGGACGACACCTGGACCACGCAGGCTGTCAAGGGATTCCGTCAACAGCAAGATGCTATGACAAACGAAACTAAAAGATGTGCACGCAGACAGCCATTTCGTACTAAATGCTAACGATGGAGGGCTTCTTCACACACTATACATTCCAAGACCTTTGAAATACCACATAGAGTTCTGTAAAACACCCCATATAGCTAGTGAATGCAATACAATATGTGCCTTGTAATATATTTTAAACAGATGCAAAAATATATACTCTTCACATGTGCCACAACAGTTACAAAAAAGTTGAGTTAACTTTATTAAGTACAACGCAAACGCCTTGCTGGTTGTTTGTCTAGAAGGTATCGGTAGCCAGATACATATTCCGTATCTATAGCCGTAGCTCAGTACATAAACTCAACTTACACTGCTTAATAGTCTAAACGCGGTTACAGCGCCGCAATCGTATAATTCAGCAATTCGAGCCGACAATTTTAACTTTAGATTCAGGCGCCTTCAATTGCCGGAGTGGAGAAAGCAGCAGGAGCTATAAAACAACAGATACCAGACAGGTCGGAAATTTGCTCATTAATTAGGATCAGACTATTATAATACAAACTATAATATTTACAACGTTACAAACTATAATATTTACAACGTTACAAACTAAAATATTTACGCCGTACACTCGATTGCCGTATATATACATATAATGTATGTATGTATGTATGTATGTATGTATGTATAT